GCGACTGGGTCTTTTAACGCGTGGCTCTTAACTGTACAGAGCGTCTGGAGGTTAATGTGTCGGGGTGACAGAATAAACAGCTCAGGTGAGCTTCAGAAGCGGCGCATTAAACTGAGTGTTTAAGAGGTGCTGAGCCGTAAGGGGCAGGTGGGATTGGCCTCACACAACAGCTGTCTGCCATCTGAGTCCCTATATATCTGGCTGTTTCGGTCATTATAAGCATTTATATAAATCACAAAGGAGTCAGCCATGAGAATAAATGGAGACTTTTGCTTAACCTTCTGCGTCTTATATTTCCCCCGAGAAAAAGGCTATTGGTGAAGTTTACATGTTATGTTAATTTAAAGCAAGTAATTTTTATAATCATGCGATCAACACATCCTCATGATTCATTTTTATGAGTTCATTTGTTGAAGATTTGAACCAATTTAAAACCAAATTATGTAATATTTCCTGTTTGTTTTTAAGTGCAACATGAAGAGTGGTGAAATAGCTTAAAGTTGCAATGAAACAGAAGTATACTTAAAAAACAAAAAAGATTTTTCAGTTTAAAAAAAAAACTGAGTAGCCCACATTTTACAAGAAAATTCAATTTCAGTTTTTCTATTTTAAAATTTTGCATTTAATGCAAGGTGTTACTTGACAATTCCTTTGCAATCGTTTATTGGAAATTTCTGTATGAAAACTTATTTTTAAGTAAATCATTTTTTTCAGTGTAGCGACAGATATTTAATTCCGTATTGTGATGTACATCCGTGTGTAACAGATTATCGAAAAAGAAAAAATGTAGCTTGTGACTTTTTGTCATTGGTTTGACAAAAAGGATTTTGACATTTGTGGGCATTGCTGTTGCCAATTTGGGGATTTTGTAGTGACCTTCTCATTGTTGCTGCGACTTTTATTAATGTTTTGTGACAAGGAGCTATTTTGGTGATATTTAAATATATTTGGTGATTTTTTGGGTATTTTTGGTGATAAACAAATAAATAAAAAATAAGGCAGACATGCTGTCATTTGTAATGTTTTCTCTGTTCTTTTGTTATCATTTTACATGTAAATACAACTGAAATCAACTTATGTGTATGGTAATTTTATCCGACAATGGCTGGATTTTAGCAGCAGATTGGAAGTAAGTGACTGCACATAATGGGTGGCATTGTCTGATGACAGAAACATAAAAATATGTAAATGAGAAGTTTTATTGGGAATTTGGGTGTTAAAATAGGAATAAGACATGATGACGCAATGGATATGCTAATTAGTGCATGATGTCATATAATGACATTTAGCAACTTTTCATGAAGGCATTTGGCAACACTTGTATTGCACTCAAAAGCAGCAGCAGATAAGCGAGAACTTGCAGGGGCAGAGTTTAAACAGGCGAAATGAATAGAGATGTGCATTTTGCTGAGTGTGTTATTGTGCTGATATTTTAAGGACTACCGTGGACAGCTGACTCCTAAAGTTTTTGAAATTCTTCATATTCTGTGTGATGATCAGTTCACACTGATAGAAATTAATCTTTTCCAATAAGTTTAAATAGATTTTTTGCCTTTTATGATAATTTTTACTTTTATACAGCCTTTTTTTCTAAAAGTGTGCATCATCTTTTCAGTCAAATTCTTAAACTTAATCAGTCAGTTAGAATAAGAAGTAATTTGGGCTGTTACACAGAAGCTTTATTATAAGGGGCATTTAGATGCATTTACACTCTGTTTAATGCAGGACATGAATTTCTCATTGTTGCTGCGACTTTTATTAATGTTTTGTGACAAGGAGCTATTTTGGTGATATTTAAATATATTTGGTGATTTTTTGGGTATTTTTGGTGATAAACAAATAAATAAAAAATAAGGCAGACATGCTGTCATTTGTAATGTTTTCTCTGTTCTTTTGTTATCATTTTACATGTAAATACAACTGAAATCAACTTATGTGTATGGTAATTTTATCCGACAATGGCTGGATTTTAGCAGCAGATTGGAAGTAAGTGACTGCACATAATGGGTGGCATTGTCTGATGAAAGAAACATAAAAATATGTAAATGAGAAGTTTTATTGGGAATTTGGGTGTTAAAATAGGAATAAGACATGATGACGCAATGGATATGCTAATTAGTGCATGATGTCATATAATGACATTTAGCAACTTTTCATGAAGGCATTTGGCAACACTTGTATTGCACTCAAAAGCAGCAGCAGATAAGCGATAACTTGCAGGGGCAGAGTTTAAACAGGCGAAATGAATAGAGATGTGCATTTTGCTGAGTGTGTTATTGTGCTGATATTTTAAGGACTACCGTGGACAGCTGACTCCTAAAGTTTTTGAAATTCTTCATATTCTGTGTGATGATCAGTTCACACTGATAGAAATTAATCTTTTCCAATAAGTTTAAATTGATTTTTTGGCCTTTTATGATAATTTTTACTTTTATAAAGCATTTTTTTCTAAAAGTGTGCATCATCTTTTCAGTCAAATTCTTAAACTTAATCAGTCAGTTAGAATAAGAAGTAATTTGGGCTGTTACACAGAAGCTTTATTATAAGGGGCATTTAGATGCATTTACACTCTGTTTAATGCAGGACATGAATGCATTTAACCTGCAGTTACAAATGCATTAATATTGTTTTGATATTTTAAACATAAAACGTTAAATACTGATATTTGAAATGATTTAAAAAAAATTAAAAGATACTTTAAATGTGAAATTAAATCTGCCTGTAGGTGGCAGCAAGTCACTGTTAATAGTGAAATGATTTAAAAAAAATGAAAAGATACTTTAAATGTGAAATTAAATCTGCCTGTAGGTGGCAGCAAGTCACTGTTAATAGGTGAGTCATTGCGACTGAACCGAATCATTTAAACGGTTGATTCATTCAGGAACAAAACAGTGTCATGTTGCTCAGAGACGCAAATTGAAATTATATTTGTTGGCGAAAAAGACCAAAAACAGTCAATACTGTGTCTAAAACGTAAGTGCCTTGATATTAAATGTCTCATTTATTGAACTGCTGTATAAAATCAGTATCACATTTGTAATCATGCTGCTTTTTGGTGGAAAAAACGTCAGTCTTCACGTGATACTGATTAACTATATGAAATGATATAAATATATACATTTCTGCCTCCATATCTTGAATTTTGTGATCATTCTAAATGCATTTTAATAAACTGAATCCTGCAGTGAAAGAACGTGCATTGATCTAACCTACTAGACTTCCTATTGCTTTAGCTAACTTGGTAGCTCTCATGAGTCATGGGCAGGATAATTAGCTGTAAATTCGAGGCACAGGTAGCTTAGTCTGTTGTTCATCACCACTCACCTCCACACCAAGACAAACAAACACAACTGGAAACGAGGGAGGGCTTCACTTCTGCGGCTCTCTGCATGTCTGTGACGTGCGGAGGGTGGACCAACTCCAGGGTAAGGCTAAAATCAGCCAAATCTAATAACTACAAACATCATAAACCTGTGTTTTTAGGCAAGAAGAGTGTCTTGTAGGCTAATAAAATATGTTTAATGGGACTGAATTTGTATTTAATGTGATTACAATTTAATTAAAACATTAGAAATTGATAATTGCATAATGTTTCCTTCCCACGGTTATTCAAACGGCGAATAAATTATGTACAGAAATGACATTATCACTAACTTTGATCTATCGCACTTTGATCTATCAAAAAAACAAAAGTATCGTTATAATCACTGAAGCTGTCTACACTAAGAAATTAATCCCTTACTTACATTGTACATTAGTGTTTGTGTGAATGACACGGTGCACCTTCTATATATGTTATTGTTTAAAAGCTGCTTGTCATGGGCTTTGGTTCATCATGTGACTTTCTCATCATCACCTGCATTTGATGGTTATCAGTTTATTACAAAGGTACAAAACAGATTTCAGTACTTCAATAGGTTGGTATATTAACATTTTTATCAGTTAATGAAATTACGGTATTTAACTGTACATTTAAGTTAAACCAGTAAAACCTAAAACGTTGCTACCATATTATTTACGGTAAAATTCCGGCAACCACAGCTGTCGGTTTTTTACCGTAAATTTTACGGATTTTTTTTTTACAGTGTACATCTGCGCTTTGTTGTTTATGATGAGAGAATTCGCGGAATTCACTTTCTCTCAAGGAAGAAAAAGGGCAGGTGCTCAAGCCCCCTTTGATGTCTATGTGTGCACATGCCTGGAGATGTGCAGTATTCATCTCCAGAGAGAATTAAGTCTGTCATTTTCACTGGAAGGTCCAGTTATGACATTATGACAGGACACATTTTCATTCCATGCCAGCTTTAAAGTCACAACGAGGCAAGCTTTAAAGGCATGTGTATACATGCAGCTGTGTCACGAGTGTGCAAATTATTCAGTAGCTTTTACATTTACGCATTTGGCATGTTTTAATCCAAAGCGACTTGAACTGTATTCAACACCGTTTATCAGTCCTTGCTTCCCTTGAGAAACGAACCCATCTAGCGACATGCTTAGTTCAAACTATAGGAAAAGAGTTTTAAAAGTTTTTGCGCTATATTGAGTTGTGTAATCTACAAGAAAGTGATTAATAATAGGCTAACAGTAGGCCTACTATTTTTCTATAACGTTCTTCTGCAATAGTGTTTGCTCAAAGCACTGAACACCACCACTTTATTTTTTACTTATCTGCTTGTTAATTTAGACGTTTAGGTTACATATAAAAGTTTGAAACACGGGGTCAGACAAACCTCCCATAATTCAGCCTACAACCAGCGTGAAACTAACGTTTTCTACTCGCTTTTGAGATGTTCTGATTGTAATCTCTACCCTCAGGTACGATCTCCAGCACTACAGCTAATAACAGCAGTATAATTCACTCTCCTTGATATGTTGCAATATCTTTACACAGCGAGACGCGCGTCGGGGCAACTTGTTGTCGCCGCAGGTGCATTTCTGAAAACGCGCATCCATGAAGCGCGTAAAGCAGCCTCCACCCATCATTACAGTTCAGAGACGAGCATCTGCGGAGATAACCCACCGGCCCTGCCGTTTTCAGTCGCCTGCGTCCTCATACCTCCCTCTCTCCGCTTTGTTGGCGGAGTTTATGCGGCTCCGCTTCGCTCCTCCTCCAGTTTGCCATCTGTACTCAGAGCTCTGTGCGTCTACAGGTTGAGCGTCTCCAGGATTGGTTTAAAACAATCGCAACAGGTTACAAGTGCGTTAATGAATCCGAGAGCGTTCTCGAGTGGGCGAAATGTAGGAACAACATAACTTATTAAACCAGCGTTAACGTTTCAGTCATCACCTATTTGGATTGGCTCATTTATATTAGTGTGAAACTCTGCGCGAAAGTTCATCATGGTTTCGTTGCTGGATTTAAGCGCTCTTGTTCTGTCGCTCGTTTGGGGATATTGCGTCCTGGCGGAGACGGTCTTTACAAACTTTACTCTGGACAACGAGGTCCACTCTAGTTTCATCCACCGGCGCTTGAAGAGCCAGGAGCGCCGGGAGATGCAGCGGGAGATCCTGTCAATCCTCGGGTTACCGCACCGGCCGCGTCCGCACCTCCACGGCAAGCACAACGCCGCGCCGATGTTCATGCTGGATCTGTACAATGCCATGTCCACTGAGGGAGAGGAGGAGGGCTTCTCGTACCCCTACAAGCCCGTTTTCACCACTCAGGGACCGCCGATCGCGACCCTTCAGGACAACAACTTTCTGAACAACGCGGACATGGTCATGAGCTTTGTTAATCTAGGTAAGATGCACTGACAGTTCTGGGATGTCAAATGCCATAATTTAACCTGCCAAGTGAAACTGCGCCCACCTATGATGCTTAAATTGAAACCAATTCAATTATATTCAAATCCATACAGTGCAAATGGTCTACATAAACGCTCGTATTTGATCATAATGTGTAGCCTACTATGAAATAGTAATTTATAATGGAGTTAATAGGTAAAAGAAGCACTAAAGAACATTAGGACACAATTTTGACAAAAATGTCGTCCATTTAATGAACTTTATTACAAGGCGCTCTGGAATAGCCTACTTGATTCTGATTGGTCAAAAAATCTTCGTTTATAAAACGGATAGTTCTGGTCTGTGCTTCTGATTGGTCAATTTAGCCATCCAGCTGTGTTATTTTCCACAATATGTAACCGTCTCTGTGAAATCCAGGCTAAAGTCTCAAAATCTAATTATGAGTTAACAAGCATCAAAGTTTGATTTGAACCATTCATTTCACTATGATTTAAATTTTTGTGAGGCGAAACACCTGTTCACCAATCACAGCGTTTTATTCTACTTTGTTGAGGCCCTTTCATGAATTTGCTTAATAAAAGTGAAAAGTGAGCATCCTAATAACAATTTGTGCCCTCAGTATTTTTAATACGCAGTAACTGTTTGATCAAATCAGTAAGACCGTGCTACGGTTATGATGAAAAATCACACCCTTGGGGTTTCATTCCCATTGTACCCTATCATTGAGAACATTATGTGGGTTAAAACTTAGAAAACAACATATTTTGGGTCAAATTTGATTGATAGTTTTACAAGAAACAATTTCAAACATGCATAACTCTGCTTTTCAGTGTTTGTTTAGATGTTCTTGACAATGTCACAGAGTCTGGTTCCAAAAGCGAAACCGATGTGGTTTATTTTGGAAGACAAAAGCGGCTAATGAAACTGCAGCAGTTGAATGTGAAACATCATGATGGGGATTGCATTTCTATTCTATCTGAAAAGACAAAAATCAGATTGATCCTCTGCCTCTTCATGTTTTGGCATCGAGAGGAAAGAGCTGCCACAGAAATCAGATAATAACAGGGCCGAGTGAATAATAACTGGCCTAAGAATGGGGATTTTTCCCCCTCCCCTGCAGTCTTAGATGTTTTATTTGTTCCTGGGCCAAATAGCACGCATAGTTCTCTCCTTCATTGTTCGTTTGATTTTATTAGGCCACTTATCTGTGCAAAGTCTTAACCTTGGCGTGATTTCCAAGCTCCTAATGCGGGTGAATGCAAACTTATATTTGCATTGTGTGTTTTGGGCAGTGATAATAAAGCACTGTCGCATTCCCAAGCGTCTGCTGTCTCAGCGCCAGCTGTGTCCTCCGCTAATGTTCAGGTGTTCAGAGTTGGCTGTCTGGGAGCTCAACGGTCTCTTTATCTTCAGTAATGATATCAGCTGACAGAGGCACAAGTGTTTTGCTAAGTGCAAAGTACGTCTCATGACTCGTTTGCTTAACTGCAGTGAGAAAGCCTTTGGGGCCACTCACGTATATTCTTGCATTCAAAAGCGACAATGGAATGACCCTTAACTATGGAAACCATAGTTTCTGCCAATAACATTTATTGTTGCTACTGTAAAACCATGACACATAATATATACATGTCAGTTTGATTAATGCCTTTTCTTCAGCACCGTGGTAGCTACGGTTCACTGTTTTATTATAAGAACAATAACTGTAATAACTTTGGTATTTTGGCAACACGTCTTGTATGAACGCTCCCAGGTCACCATTCAAGCAGCTTTTAGTCATCCACCTTTACCTCCGCCTAAAGTGTAATCTTTGACACCGCCTAACTTTGCCTGCCTTAATGCTTCATAAGTACCTGACTTGTCTTATCAGCAGCCTGTTAGTTTCCTCATTAAAGCGTCATCATCTGCACGCAAGCACAACACTGCCATGCAAAGTGTGATTTATTGTCCGATAAGAGCAATTATGTTGTTAAGGGTGTGATTTGTATCGCTTTTTATTGGTAAGATGGGTTGGATGTGATAGTTAAGTGACAATCTTAATTCTTTTGAAGCTATAAAACCTTTATGACGTCTCAAACCTCTATGACTTTGTTTCTTCTGTGGACACAAAAGAAGATATTTGGACTGATTTAAAGGTTTGGAATGAAATGAGGGTCAGGAAATGAAGACAGAATAAATTTTTTTGAGTCAACTGGCCTTTTAAATACTGATCAAGAATTACAAACATTTTGTTTATTATAATGAAAAGAAATGATTAATCTGAGAAAGGCTAATGTGTGTGTCTGTGTGTGTAAGTAAGTGTATGACTATAAGGAGGGAGGTGACAGTGTTTCTTATTCTGAAATGTGTAATTATCCAGAGGACTGCTGTATTGTGCCTATTTTGGACAAGCACTGACACAGATGGATTTGACCACAGAGGCTCGCAGAATCAAGGGCCTCTCTCTCTTTCTGCTTCACTTTCGTGCTTCCCATCAGCTTTAAATGAAACAACCTGCTGTAGCCGCTCCATTCAACCAAACTGAAGTGCCACAGCACACCTTTTATATTAAACACAGTGTCACTTTCTCCTTTGGCATTTTGCAGGAAGAATGTGAAGATATGTGTTTATATTTACTTAATTTTCACTGTGGTGGTCACGTAGATGCTATATTGCATTAGGCCCAGAGAACACTGCATGGATGCCATACGATACGAGGGTTTTGCTTTCTTCACTAAATCTGCAATCCATAAACTTGACAGTTAATCATAACAAATATGTTTTACATAAGCAAAATAAACACAAGGAAAACAAAAAGAGTTCACACAGAAACCACATGCGATCCAATAACATCTAAAGAGTTTTTAATGTTTAATGGAATATGATTTTCCGCAAATCCCTTTAAATTATGAAATGCCCAATTATGTTTCCAATGGTTTTAAGAAGAAATTTATTATTTGAGCTGTTTTTTTAACTTGTAGAGATGAAGAAAAGCTCCTGCATTTTCCATCCTTTCAGTGAAGAAAAGCTCCTGCATTCTGTTGCAGATTTCAAAGTTTAATTCAGATAAACCAATGTTTCAATCAAAAAACCTTCTTCCTAAACCATTTTCCTAAAGAAAAAAATCACACATGTGAATTGGATGCCCAAATATGGTATTTGATGATCTGTGTCATGGCTGTAAAACAATGAGAGGAAAGCTGATTGGAGAAGTCCTATCTCTAAATATTAAAAAAAAAATACACTGATTCATCCGGAGCATTTTGAGAACAAGTGAGTGATTTACAATTATGAACATATCCCGTATTCCAGAAAGAATGGAAGTGTCAGTGTCTGTGTCTTTGCTTCCTTAGTACCAAGCCACTCTGTGACTGGCAGCGTTTTTGTATGAACGCCATCTCGTCTAATGATCTAGAAAAACTTGCCGAAAACATACGCTAAAATATGAAACACATGCAAACTTATGAAATGTAAGACTCAAAGTTTACTCGAAACTGAGACTCGTGTTTTGAATTATCCAAGAAAAAATTAACTTTTCTTTATCTGTCAGATAAAAAAATCTGTCAGAGGATGTTTTTAGTTGTTTCATTTGCAGCACTGAAGTGTGAGAAACCCATTTTACCCTCACAAGGGTTTGAGAATAACAAAAAGGCAGACAAAGTAGTAATAAATACGGTACACTAAGTAGAAATAATGTAAGATACTATACTCACTTGTAGTTATTTACACCTTCAAATATAGTCAGTCACTACAAGCAGTCATGAAAAAAAGACTGATTTTGGACATACAGTATGTGGGTCAAATTGACCTCTATAGCCCTATTCGCACGGGATTAGTATTACCTGGTGACCTCCAGTCATTTGTATTAATTGCGGAGGTTGTCTGTCGGCCATGTCTGTAATTGTAATAAGTAAAAATTCCCCCGCAAATGACCTACCATATTTCGCCGTACACCGAGGTCCTGTGATAATATTAGTCCCGTGTGAATCGGCATCTCTGTGATTTGGCCAGCATTTGGTGGGTCGTATATAATTTTTCGATGTTTTTGTTTCCTGTGTGCCTTTTTATCCATTTTTCACAAAGAATGGAGCTGCGTTGGAGTGTTTGATAGTATTTTGGGTGCTGTCATATCACTACGCCATACAATTTGCAGAAAGAGAAATATTTTTGGTTTTGAGATTTTTTCAAGGTTTTGAGGTTAATGTGTTACAAATAAATCAAGCATAAAGCTTGAGATATTATTTTAACCTGGTGAAATGTAAATGACACAGCGCACGAAACTATATTAGTTTCTTTTTCTTAAAATCCATCTAACCGGACCATAGAATGGGACTCTCAAAGCCTTGACATCCAAGGGAGATAAGTCAGTCAATTCGAGTGAAATCACAGGCTTCGCTTATCCCGTGCGAATGCACCACACGAAATTCAGATGTGTGGGGGTAATTTCAAAATCACACAAGGTCCCCAGATAATACTAATCCCGTGCGAATAGGGCTTAACACAATAGAAATAGCAATAAAAATAGATAGGAATTATTAAATTTCTCACATATTTCATATTTTTAGTCTCTGACAAGCTACAATAGAAGTTTTGTGTTTCAACATGAATCTTTAGTAGTTTTTATATTGCCAAGTTTTGCTAAATTGACCCTTCGCTGACAGTTTGATTGACAGACGATTTGACCAATCATAATGCAGAATTTGCCATTTTGTCTGACAAACAAACAAACAAACCAGACAGGAGAGTAGATTAAAGCTGGCCACACACTAGAGGATTTTAAGGCCGATTTGCTCCCCTGAACGATCGGGGGGTGTGACCCGATTCGCGGCTTGTTGCAAGCAATTTTTAGTGCAAATAAATCCTCTATTGTGTGGTGTCATTACGATTATTTAACTGCTCCCAATCGAGACAGATCATCCCTGAACTCAAATCGTAACTATCACACATGTTTGATATTTATGACTCTTGATCGGGCTGCCTCTGACGTGATACCCACGATAGCCAATGAGAGCGAGC